AGCGGTCGCAGCGGGACGGCGGCGGGGATTGCAACAGCTGCAGGGGAGTGGTGCGATGTGAGCAAAGTTCGCGAGACTTGGATGGACGAGGGGTGGAGAGCGGTGGAAGGGACGGGGAGGAGGGAGAAGGGGACAATTGAGGGGGATGGGGTTGTCTAGACGGATGTTGGGAGGCCCGGCCCGCCAGACGTCACGTTGCCCCGTCTTTTTATCGTTCCGAGCGAGGTTTTTCGAATAGGGATGACACGCAGTGCCCTCAAATGCTGTCTCTTCTGCCGTTTTGTGAGGGATCGCTCACCAAATTAATAGATTAGCCGTAAACGAGGAAATGTTGCCATTGTTGATTTGGACATTATTGTCTTTCGAGGGTCATTCATTTCATGGAGACGAACATTTAGAATCGATTTTTGTGAAATTTTCTTTTTGGTGATTACGAGGTGTGCGAGTGCTGTGCGAGGGGATTTCGGGAGAGTTGGCTAGAGGTGATGCGCAGAGTGGTTGGTGAAGGTAGAAGAGGAGATGGGACGAGCTAATGGGAAGCACGGGTCGAATGTTCTCTGGCCCGGCTCACCAGACATCACCTCACCTCGTCGTTCCCTGCCATCCAGGTTTTCGCGCGCCTATGGAGGTTGGTGGGTTTCGTGATAAAGGCAGGGGCGAATCCGATCGATAATTTTCTTGGCGAGGGGGCTCGTAGATTTTCATTATATAATATACATATTTGTTATTAATTGTATATTATTTTTTGTACGTGAGATATGATTCTATATATTATTGTTTAAATAGTTACATATTTCGAACATAAGTATTTAAATCAATTTTGTCGAATAAAAGGTAAACGAAAAATCTAGGCATTTTGGAAGGGGGAGGCACCCATGCCCCTCCCTCTGGACCTGCCCGTAATAGGTTTGCTGAAAGGCATAAATATGGCATTTCAGCAGCAGTTCAGGGGCAGAACAGCTCCCTGGAGGAACGGGATCCTAACCTCCACGTTCCTAAGTTTCGTGGTAAAGGCAGAGGTTTGGGTTTAAGAATTGAATCATTCTGCCCGATCCTTCAGTGAGCCGTTTATCTTTGAGTTATCATCTGAAGCTTCAAATTGTCCGCAGTACTAGGAAAACAAATCCTCTCCGCAAAATGCCGTATTTGGCTTTTTGAGTCGACTGTCATTGCCGGCTAGCTAACGGTGCCTCCTAACTTAGTTTAATTACCACGCTTGGTGGTGCGCGGTGAGTGGGGAGGATAAGAGTGATATGTGGTAAACATGACGTATTCCCTTCAACGCAACTAGCAAACTCCGCCTGTCTGAGCTTTTTTCTTCGTCACACATCTACAGAAACTCAGATGATTTTAAAGGAAAGCTATTTCTCTATATTTGATCTGACTAGAAATCGAACCCGGGATCGCAGCGCGAGAAGCTATTACGGTGCCGACGAGCTACTGTAGGAACATTAGGCCAAACTACCTCTCGATAATTATTGAAGATGAATATTTATGTTTGAAATTCCGTTCTGTGTCGCGAGCGGCTGCTGGTGCTTGTGGTGTGCGAGAGATGGATGAGACAGGGAGGGCAAAAGGGTGGTGGTGGAGAGGGAAGGGCATGGAACGAGGGAGAATGGGAGGGACTGAACTTGAGAGGGGGTGTCGGATCGTCGCCGACCCGGCACCCCAGACGTCACGTGGCCTCGCAGGTGTCTCAGCCCGAGCCATGTATTTTACGAAGAGCCACCATGGAGCTCCCCGGGCTGCGTTGTAAAAGTAGGAGTCGGAGTTCGGGTTGAACCGACGTTGGATGGTGTCTCACTTTGCGAGAAGCCTATTCGCTTGAAGTTGATTGCCTAACGTCGGATTGGCATGCTGAAAGGCATACATTTGGTCTTTCAGACGCAGTTCAGAGGCAGAGTCGTTCCAGGGGCAGTTCGGCTCCAGAGAGAGGAAGACAGAGAGAGGAAAGAAAAGAGGAGAGGAAAGAGAGAAGGGGAGAAAGAGAGAGAGGAGAAAGGAGAAAGGAAGGAAGAGGGAGGGAAAGGGAGAGAGGGAAGGAGAAAGAGTAAGAAGAGAAAGGAGAAGAGGAAGAATGGAGAAAGGGAAAGAGGAGAGAGAGGGGAAGAAGGAAAGAAGAAGGGGTGGAGGAAAGGGGAGAGAGAGGAAGGGGAGGAGAGGGAGAAGGAGAAGAGAACAGATAAAAGCTGGCAGAGCCAGGAGTTTGTAACTCATATAACAGGGTTATTGATTCTACAAATGAAAAATAATATTATGCAATATAGGGTTATTTTATTGCATGCGCATATTTTTGGAAAAGAGCGACTATTAGGAGAGATTTTACAAATTAGTAAGACCGCAATAAAGCAACATTATAAAAGAGTTTTGAGTAACAGCATAACAAATTAATAAGAGATTCTAATTTCATTTTTAGAAATTATTGCGACATCAGAGGTATTTGAAATCTGTGCGAAAAAACTGTGGTCCCCTGTTTGGTTTATCGCTACCTCACGATTCTCTCTCTAAACTTCGCTGAATGTGTGATAACGCAATTATTCCTGCCATAAAAATGCAAATAATCTATGATCTGTGCCATAAGATGTCATTTCATGAACGAATTTTTGTTGCGAAAAAGGTCGTTTTTTGTTATTTAAGGTCGCATCAACATGTAGGTCAATAGCGACCACTATTGGATTTAACGTTATGGTAACTGTGAATCCGAACCGTTATGGTAACTGTGAACGTCGAACTCGCGATCCTTCGGATCGAGATCCTGCGAAGCGACGCTACTGCCTTAGCGATCTGGGCCAACGGATCGGCAAAGATCGTTTATAATGCTGGAATACAAAACCTACATTTATTATCAAGAAGTAAAGTATTTCTCAGAATTTGATGAAGGATTGGATGAAAAGTCCGATCGAAATGGGGTCATACCCAGAAGTTGTATACATACTTGTTTCATTGTCTTATTCTTTCAAAATTATGCATTAGATAGAGGGAAAAATGCGTTGTCGTTCTATATTATATTTAATATTGTTTTCGTGTATGTTGCACAGTTTAAGCTCAAATTGTACAGAAACAAGTATTCAATTAAACAATCACATGTCTTTGCAACTTGTGAATTGATCGTCATTGTCCAATATCATCAGGTAATGTGTTTCAATATATAGCACAAAATGTAAATGTCCATTGCCTATGATTTCTACGACGTCCTGTCAATAAATATCTCTGTTTCTTGAAAACATTTTTCCACCGTCAATTTTGACAAAAGCATAGACTCGTAAATTAACAGTCAGGGCCCAACTGTTATAAATATTCCCAATAAACTCAAGTGAATACAGAGAGTCTTACAGAAATGAAGTGGATGAAAACATAATAAAACGTGAGTACTCCACCAGAATATGTAATTTTTTTGTTGAGGAAATGTACTTCTAAAAATACAGCATCAAGCTGCGTTAATGCTGACTGAATTTGAAAGAATTCTGAATACATAAAATAAATACGTTTTTTATTCAATTCATAATATATATCCTTTCTGTTTAGGTTTCCGTGATGTCAGTGATGTCGGAAAAAATTAATCAGTATATTCACAGATATGGGGGTCTATGTTTACTTATGGCATTTTTTCAGGCTGACATCCAGCCCGCAACACACACTACTTTACAATACACTTTACTATCGTGCATAAATTGGAAACGATGCATCCTACAGCTTTAAAAACAGTTACTTGTGTTATGATAAATAAAGGATGTTGTCTGGTATCAACAATTCATTTGGCTGATGATCGTTTCGATCGCGTAGCGATCATCCTCAGAGCTTGCATAATAATAGAAGGTATCTACGTCACCAGCGATCTAATTAAAGTTACTTGTATACCTGGAATGGGCACAAGTTATATTTTCTAAAACGTAATTTCCATTCAGATTAAGAAAAACTAAAAATTGAATTCATAGTTTTAATTTTAATTCAAGTCAGAGAGATTGGGGATACATTGTTCAAGATAAGTAATGTTCCCACCGTTCCAATAATTAATTTTTAACAATATTTATCCACTTTTTCGTTACCACGGCCCGTCAATAAAATTGTTTCTGCTGATAATTCACTATTTTCCTGCGCACAATTACAAAACTTTCTTTTCTTACCAATTGAGTACGAGAAAGTATAAACAGATGAAGGATAAGAAACACTCAGAGTAAAATAAGAGAGTCTAAGTTGAAATTTAGAAATTTCATAGTTTCTATTGCATGAGGCAACCAAAACTTAGTTTCCTCGGTGAGTAAGTGTACAAATAGTTGTAATGAAATCATTGTTGTACACTTACTGAGAGATAAACGTGATCATTGTGGTTTCAGAAGAATATATCTACTATCCAATTTATTCAAATATCACTTAATAAAAAAGTAATTCTTAAGTAATATTTAGCGATGGAATTCGATAATCAGATCGTGGGTACAATCTAAACTCAATATAACATTCCGAAGAAAATAGAACAAAATTCAAATGTTCCAGTACTGATTCAAAATATTATTTCAATATTTGAAAGAGTAATTGAACAGTTGCTATTTGATTGACAGAAATCAGTGAAGAATGTAAGCTGTGAAAATATATTTGAGTGTATAATATGGAACAATTAAATCGAAATAGGGACTAACTGCTCTTAAATGTAATTGTATTAACATATCAAAACACGTTTTGCAATCATTAAAGAGCGATCGACCATGTCATAGCTATTAAGCATAACTGAAAATATAAAATGTCTGAGTACTAGCATCTGTAACTGGAGCATTGAGCTAGTGTCATTTTCCATTTCATAATTGCAGTTCAACATTTCACATGATCTCCTTTGTGACAATGTCAACATCACACACACACACACACACACACACAATGTCAACGTCTCACAATGTCTCACACACATATACACACAATATTCAACACCTGGACATGCATGTTGTAATGTACGCAATTACATAAGCGTGCTACGATGCAATGAGATTTCATTGTGCGATTTAAAGTTATTTTTGCACGATAGCATTACTGGAGTAATGTAGTTTTTAAGGTCAACAATCTTTCCTATAAATTGTATGACCTTTGCACGCGCCACTCCGTTTAAGATAATTTCATGCAATGTTACGTTTCACTTCCATCAAGATAAATGTTCCCTCTTGATAAGTGTGGTAGGTAATTTCCTCTTATTTTCTTATTATCTAGGATTAAATGGATTAGAATTAAGTTCAATATTTGAAAGAGTATTTGAAAAGCGATGTTTGAACGGAAACTGAGTGACTGTAAAAACATTGATGTTTGAAGCTGGTTCTGAACATGCAACCTCAGTCACCAAAGATATATACACATTCTGTCAACTTACCTGTATTAAAATCAAATTACAAAATTCGCTGAGCTATTTTACGATAAATGAAATAGGTGTAACATTATCATGAAATGTGTGTGGAAAAGACATGAACAGCGATGTTGGTGTGACGGGTTGGTCTTGACTATGGGTCTGTTGGACAGACGATCATTAAGATTTCAGGCGGAGTAAGTCGAAGAACAACTCAGCAAGAAATAAATTTAAAAAAACAAGACAGGTACTATATTATTACTATACTTTGTGTGAAAATGTTTCTGAATGTTCTTGTCTACAGGATAATTTGTGGTTTGGGGTTATTTAATGTTTAAATTTGCATAAAGCGAAGTAAGAATGTATAGTGTAGAAAGAATAGGGATTTATTACGAAACGTATTTTAAGGTTTCATTTGAGAAATATTATATTAAATTTAAATGAGAGAACATCTCAATTGAAAGCTTTAAAGAGACTGATGAAAGTGAGTTTGTTAAATGAATTATTTAATGAAATAAAATGCTAATTGTTATTACCAAAGTAATTCTCGTCTCGTAATTTCTCACACAAACACAAGCTTGTATAAGACGTTTTAAGTCAGTTGCGAATTTCTAGGAAAAGATATATAAAAAGATGGATATTTACTTTATAAAGAAGTAGTTTTATTCAATATTTTCGCTGTAATGTTTCAATGTTACGCTTTCATGTTCACGCTTCAATGTTTACCTTTTAGAATTTTTAAAAATTCAGAGTCAACGAAAATCGGCATTCCGCCATTTTTATAAGATTATCTTGCTGTATAAAAGAAATAATTTAAAGAAAAAAATTGCGCAGTTTCTGGGAAAATCTAATTTTTAAAATTATCTTTAGTCCACGCAAAATTACGTAAAAACTACTTGTATTTTCAAAACATTGCCCTAATGAAATTCATGGACAATATTAAAATGATTGTCCGCGACATAATGTACATGCCATCAATAAATTCTGTCCATGCCAAGGACTGTCCATGCCTTAATATCTAAGTTTGAAGAACAGATTCCATTTAGAAAACCTCCCTACCTTCAATATTGTAGTTGTAGAAAGATGCCGAAGAAAGAAAATTTTGAAATTTTCAAAAATTCCTGCAAAAAAGGCCAACCTGCACCATTTTGATAAGCGTACTTATTTCTCTAAAAAATATAATCCTAAAATGTTGAGGCTTCATGTAAAGTACCCAGCACAATCAAAATATCCGTTTGAAATTTTCAAGGCCTAGAGTTCAAACTGATCGATAGGATGAAATCAGTTGTGACAGAAAACCCTATGAAAAGTTAAAGCGCTAGTGTTGCCCACGCCTGGCCCAACCATAGAACTCGCTAACCTATTTCTACTGTTTTCGTTCCTTACTACTTTAAAGTATTTTGGTATTCCATAACACATTTCCTTATAGAAATAATTGCTCTGCTACTAGGATATTTA